CCCACTCCCCCTGCTTGTGTTCCCTCTCTCACTGTGTCTCTCTCTGTCAAATAAATAAACAAAATCTTTAAAAATATATATAAATAAATAAATAATAAAATTCTATGACTACATTTGAATTGTCTTCTTAAAAACTTACCAAAAGTTGCTTTTTCTTTTTGCCAGTATTTTAGCACAGAATATCAAGTGAAGTCATAACACCCTAGGGAAAAATTAATCTTTCATATTCACAAAGTGAGATGCGTTTGGTTTTAATTTTATGGTTAAATTTAGGCCAATTCTTGTGTCTTCCAAACCCATTAATCCCTGCAAGCACCTCTGTCCATGGTGCTGATTCTACAGATACGTTGGTACATTCAAAGATTGAGGGCTCTGCAGACTGCAGTAGTTCTAAATCAACAGGATTACAGTTTGGGGAGTGAGAAGAAGTAGATGGTGACTAAAATCTGAGCAGGAAAAAGGAACAGAGAGTCATACAAAACTAATGTAACTGAGAAAATGAAAATTGAGATTAAAATTGGAAAGGACACTACAAAGGAAGGAAAATGAAGTGAAAAGGAAGAAACAGACTTGGGGAATCGGGAGGAGGTGAAGAAAAGTCAGAGCAGAGAAAGCTTTCTTTGTATGTTTTTGAGTTGTTCCAGAATTACTTGAAGAGTTACATGGAACAACAGCAAAGGCTGAGGCAATCCAATAAAGAAACAATGAATAACGGATCTTAACCTAAACAAAGGGATATGACTAAAGAACAAACTGTATTATGTTTGTACTGGGAATATCTGGGTATATCCAGGTATCAAATGAATTTGTGAAGGCAGAGATGTGGAAATTAAAACACTGCAGAACAAATCATGAAATGAGGTCACAGGAGAGCTGTGAAAAAGGTGTTTGGGTGAACTGAATTCACTGAAGTGCAGGGAACGACGGAATGATATCGGAGATGAAAATGACCGGAATGCACAAAATCCACAGTACTGAGTGAAAACCCAAAATAAGAAACTGGATAAAAACTTTTTCCTTGAATTGCTGTTTCCTTCTAAGCCATAACATCTCAAAATGTAGAACAGAAGTCAACTGAAACCCAAGCAACAAAAAAGAGATGGTATTGGAAATAATTCCCCTTCAGAGTTGCTCCTCCTAAGAAGCCTTTTAATGATCTTATTCACCACCAAAACTTCGAGAAGGAAGAAGGTTCCAAAGGAGAAATAAAATGAATAAGATTTCAGGTTCATTTTGACCTCATGTTTTTGTGAGCACAGGCTGCTTTGGCATAACCAATGCTACCTACCACAAGTAAGTGAAAAAAATGTATGTAATAGCTCCTACTTTTGTTCTCCATTCTTGGAATCTGGCCATTCAAAGGAACCTGTCCTTACCTGCCTGCTTTGGTGATGATCATCTCAGTTCCAATGTCATGGAACCTCTTCCAGAGGTCAGCACATTGCAGCTCTACCTGAATCTCTTCCATGGAAGACATGGCAGCAGGCACAGGGCCTGCAGCACCAGGGCCCAGGTCAGCGTGAGTGTCAAAGGAGCAGGAAGTCCGCTCAGTGAGCACCTCAGAGTCTGAACCCGTGCTTTGCTCAGAATCTGCAAAATAAACAATCAAGTCTTAGGTGAGAAACTGCTGAACTGCCCCCACCCCTCACTGCCCTAAAAGATGGGAGGCTGGGTGAGGGGCATGGTGGAGTAGGGAGAGTGGTGAACAAAAGGAGACTTAAAGCTGGGAAGCTCCAGAGCACAGCATTCAGGGTATTTTATTATTTTTTTTATGGTTTGTTTTTGTGATTTACAACCATCTTTCAGGTTTTGCATTTCCAACATGACATCTGGCATTTTAGCAACAGCTGAAGAAAACTGGTCCACAACAGGCAATATTAGGAGTACTAATGTCACCACGGTGAAGGGAAGAAGCCAAACAGGAACAATAAAGTAAGTGCCAAATTTTAAAAAATAATAATAATTACAGACCACAGCTCCAAATCTAGACAATTTCACTAGGGGCTGGGTGTTGGGGGGGTTCAATGCTAATAATAATATATTCTTTAATGTCCTACTACTCAGCATCATTGCCCATCAGCCAGTAATTTTTAAACAAAGCAAATTTTCCTCTATTTATATATCTTGGTCATCAAAAGTAATGAAAAGTTGTTTGGGATCTTTAGAAGCACTTTGTCATGTATTTGAGTAAATGGCTTTTCCTAAGAGTCCAATCAGACCATTTTGGATGAAAAAAGAAAAAAAAAATGTCTGTTGTAAGGCAAGGATGTAAGCATATGGAAAAAGTTACCCAAGAAGGCGGTTGAAACAAAGGGAATAAATGAGTTCAGGAGACACCTTGATTGGTTTCTGAAGTATGAGCAGAGGGGAGGGGTGATCCAAACAGGAAGGTAGGATTGAGAGCAACCAAATAAAAAGCTGGCGTGCTGTGCCAGATGGTCCTTTCTTCCTGTGTCTTCTGTACTCATGAAGGGGTTTTGGGGGGGAGGCGCATGCAGAGTGATAGAGAAGGCTGGAGTCAGATTTACCAGGGAATTTACTGTAATTTTTAAAGCTTTTTACTCTTAGAGGCCCAATGCCAAGAATCTTATCTCCTAAGATTTTCCAAACTCCGATTAGCTGATACAATCTCCTTAGGTCAAATGATACTGCAAGCTAAGCCTGAGAACCTATTTCTGCAACCCTCCCCTGACATCTAGGATTCTGATTGCTTCCCCTGTTAAATAAATACATAGACGAATGTGTATTGCTGCCATGCTCACTTAACTGCAGCAGGTTTCTAGGCCTGTGAAAACCCATCCCACAAGACCTTCCCTTTCCTTCCTTCTAGCCCTGATGTGTTCCTCTCTCAAACCCAGGCAGCATTGCCGGCAAGTCTTCCACAATGCTGCCAGGGAGCACAGTGACATTTCTCTCCTCCCCAGTTCCCCACCCTTCACTTCTGAAGATATTCAGGGTACTGCAGAACTGAACCAAGCTCCGAAATGACAGGCAAGTCTCTGCCCAAATCTAGTTTATCCACAATCACTAGTCCAGTCACCCTCTTCACACACACAAATATATATATATAGGTTTTACATGTCTCAGCATGTAATTTTAGACTTGGAGCTAAACAGGGACTAACTCTGGTCTCCTTCAAACACAGAAAAGTGGAGCTGCTTATCTAAGATGAGAGCTGATGCTTCTGAGTGACAAATCTCCATCCTGGCCTGATTCTATACGCCTTTCTGCTGCAGAGCCATTATATCAACATCACACACTCTGCCAAACACAGTAATTCTGATCCCCTGAGACATGATTCCCAAATCCCATTGTTTCTGTGATATGCCAAGAGCTCCTCACTTATCACATGTATTGTGAACTTTTCGAAAACTTCTCAAAGCAAGAGTTTTAAAAAATAGTCTTGTCCTACCTTTGGGAGCAAAGTGATGTGAAATCCACTTACCATAATGTGCCACAGTTATGAAAAAGTTGGAAATTTGGGACATATGATTTCTCCAATGAGTGTTTAGGCAGAGGGAGGGAAGGGAAAGATATCACTATGCTAAGTGATAACTTTTTAATGGTGGCCAAACTGGGTTGGGATTAGAATGGTGACTATGGCTGGAGAATTAGGAAACCAGAGACTCTACTCTTAACTCACCGTGTCATCTGAAATAAAATGGGAGCTCAAAGTGTGACGTTAAATGGACTATTAGTCCATTTAATAATGAATCACTTGGACAGGTCACTTAACTATAATGGACCTATTTCCTTATCATGCATTTAGAAGGATTGAGCTGAAAACTTTTATAATCTCTTCCACCTCTAAGGACTTGAAGAGTGTCGATGCATACTTTCTAATGAAACTTTCAGTGATAACCCAGGTAACCTCAATTAGAAGCATCAAATTAAAACTGCTTGGGCAAGACAAGTTAAATGAGGAAAAAGACTGGGGGCTCAGATTCACGTTATCATAGAAGTTAAAGAAATCAGCGGGTATTCTGTTTATAGTTTCAATCAAATCAATCAATAAGCACCTGTCAGCATGTGGCCCTATATGAGGTACCATTGTAGATAATTTGAAACAGAATCCCAGACCTTGAGAAGTTTCCCAGTTAGTGCTGATTAATTATGTGTTTATTGGGTGCTTACTATGTGCCCAGCACTGTGCTAGATGCTAAAAAATACCGAAGTACAGAGCGAGGCTCCACCTAAAGGAATTTACAATACAAATGGAAGCTGAGTGCATTCACAAATAGAGACCAAGACAAATGCTACCACACAGTTTCCCACACCATTACATATTGCCTTTGCATGTCTCACAGGAATCCAGCAAAGAGAGGGATCTGAGAGGACTGGAACAGTCCTGGCGAGCTCATGCTTACTAGAAAAGAAGCGTACAAGACGTGGAGATATAGGCAGCATTTGTCCATGAAGAGGATTTTCAGACACAGTTATTTGTTCCCCTGGAAGTACTCTCTGCTCCTGGATTCTCACTCCCTCACAAAATAGAGCCCCAGTGACTTCTACATAAAGAATACAGGCACCAGCCCACATTTTCAATAACATAAATTAAGCTACCTTATAATATCCTTAAAATAGGGTTAAGATCAACACCTTAGGTAAAAATAAAATTGAATCCTTTGTAAAATGCGTTTCTAAATCATAGTTAGATAAAATATTTAGGTTAACCAGATCATTTATTTTAGCTATTAATCAGAATGCATAATCCAGTTAACTATGTCATTAATATAAGAAATGCAGAACAGGTTATTTCAATCAAATGGGGCCATCCATTCAGAAATACAACCAGTCCCTTGAATATCAGAAAACACCTCTGTGTTTTCAAGTTTTTTTCTTTTTTCTTGGCAATTTGTGACTTCCTGCCTTCAAAAAACTAACCGTTAGGAACTCATTTGAATGACCTGGAAAGACTTCTTGGCTGTCAGATGTCTCTTGTGGACAGCATTTGAACAAGGGAAATTTTAGCAAATCAGGAACATAAATGATAAAGTTATCTATAACTAAGGAAGTTAAAGAAAACTTTGCGAACTTGCATGGATCCAGTTACAAATCACTGGAGAACATCGTCTGACTCATATAGTCAAACCAACATATCTATTACCATCCAAAAAAATCCCAACAAGAGATTCTAACCATCAGCTCATAGTGTTACTTGTTTTCTATCTCTGACCTATTTCATGTTGATAAAATGGACACAGTAACACTAAGTTCCCATAGAAAGTTGAGTTTAGCTTAACAGCAAGTTCAATTCTCAATTTATGCAAAATAATAGCAATAAGAAAATAGTTTCTTCTTTTACATTTTACACACTATTTAATTTATCTTTCCATTTGATGAGGTAGAAGCAGCATATTTTTAGGTCCATTATATAGATGAGGAAATTGAGACTAAGAAAATTAAAAACAACATGGCCTAGAAGGTAGGTCTTCTGTCTCCTGACCCAATGATCAGGTCTCTCCCAAGATCATATCAGGTTCAACCCCGGCCAAAAGAGCCAGCAATCTGTAGTAACTCTCAACTATTGTAACCATCCTTACAAATGAAATGGCTTAATATGTTTGGTCCTGGCCAAGTCACATAACTATTCTGGCCCTCATTTTCCTTAATCATTTTAGCACAGCATGTGCACATTTAATTAGAGGTGCTCTAAAGTCCCTTTAAGTCTAATGTTTACTGGATGGATTAGTAGTGCAGCTTAAAGACCACCAATTCTAACAACAGCAACTCAACCATGATAAGTTGAGTTGGTTGGCATGCACAGAAAATGCCTAATTTATATGTATTTTGACTTAATATCAAAACCAGACACTGTTAAAACAGATTTCACAGTCTTCCAGGCAATTTTCATCTCCACTTAACTAATAATTTTGAGGAGTAATTCATTACTACAGTGAACAGAGAACATTTACGCCTGGGGCTCTGCTCTTCACCATGAGTGGGGTGTTGGAGAGTCACTTCATTTCACAGAGCCTCAGTTTCCGTATCTTAACTATTTCCTTAGCATATCTATTACTATTTCCTTATCTTTACTATTAGGGACTGGGGGAAGATACCTTCTTGCACAGAAAATTGTATTTATAGCTTTATGATAAAATAGAAATTAATGATTCTATTGATAACAATGCTAGTGACTTTGGACTGTGAGATGAATATAAGCCCACAAGAACTATCCCAACCAAAGGGTTAATGGTCAACATCTATTGAACACCTACTAAGTATCTGATGCTCTGCTAAGACCTTATATATATATATATAAATGTTATATATATATAACATTATTTAATAAAACAAATCTAAGAGCTATCATTATTACCTCCATTTTATATATTATTGACACCAAAATCCAGATTACATCAGCTCTACCTCCTGAGGATTGCAGGCATGTGAGACTATATTTAATTCCACTTCTATTTCACCAAACATTTCTGCTTTGTATAGATCAGGTTATATAGTAATAGACCAAGACAGATAAAATAGGTTCTTGCTCCGAAGGAGCTCACAATCCAATTTCATGGGAAAGGACACACAAACTATTAAAGAAGACTGGCTATGATAGATGTTCCAATAGATATGGGAGCAAAGTA